ACATAGAATTGACAATTGTCCCAATAAGTCATAGGGCTACCCCAATGGGCCCAATTACAAAAGACATTATGATACTATACATTGGCCCAACAACATGACAATATGTATATTTAATTGTTGGGCCCAACGACGGTGCCACAGTCCAAGCTAAGGGTTTATAGATTGGCCACATGGCTTAAATGGGGGTAATTTTGGCCATTGATATATGACAGTATTAAGGTACCATTGATAGTTGGGCCCAATGAAGGGAAATCATTAAGGGAGATGGTTGGGCCCAATGGCCCAATTATTAAGCTACGGTTGATGGTTCGGCCTAATGTAAGGTATTTATTAAGGGAACGGGTTGGGCCCAATGGTAAAATTTCAATGCTATGGCTTGTAAGTTGGGCCCATGCCATGATATAAGCTATAGTTCATAGGTTAGCCCAATGATTATTTGTATTTTGCGGGTGTGGGCTTTGGTCCAGTAAACCTGCGGGTCCGCTCCTGTTCCATTGGACCCACGGCCGCACAATTGTGCAATTACACCCACAGGTTGGCTATTGTGCAGTTACCCCCATGGGGTAGCTCATGTTCCGTTACCCCTGTGGGTCGCCATGCAGGCCAGATCATGTTCCATTACTCCCACAGATCAACAATTGATCTATTACACCCTCGGGCTGGCTGTTGTTCATTACCCCCACGGGGCAGCTCTTGTTCTGTTAGCCCTGTGGGCCGCCACACAGGCCAGATTATGTTCCGTTACCCCATGGGTCAACAATAGGTCCATTACACCCACAGTATCTTATTCTGTTACACGCACGATGTCCAGCTCTTGTTCCCTTAGACCTGCGGAACCTTCTTCTGTTTGGCCTGCAGGTCTCCAATTACAGCCACAGACCATTTGTGGCTCCCCCGTGGGTCTCCAATTACACCCACAGATTACCTGCTGCTCCGTTACACCTGTGGCCACCCACGGACCAGCAATAGTGCCATTACATCCACGGATGAGCTCTTGTTCCATTACACCCGTGGGG